CTGTCCTCTTTCCATCTACTCTCCTTTCTTCTTAATTTTATTTTCTTAGTGTTTATTAAATCCTTATCTGTGCCATACTTTCTCTTGGGGCTGAGTTTTTAAGTTTTTAAGACAGGCATGGTCTTCACTCCCAGAGAGTGGGCAGCCCAGTGGGGATAAAGATGAGCGTGCTGGTAATCACAGGACACGTGAGGAGAGAACACATGGCTGAGTTTTGGTCTGTTTTGTTTCCCATTGTGTTCACAGCATTGAGAGCAGTGCTTTGGATATGGTAGGTGCTTAATAAATATTTGTTGAATTCTAAGATTAAAAATATTGAATAAGAGTTAGTTAAAGAGAGCAGAATGAAGCATTAGAGTAGGCATAGGGAATAGGCTCAGAAACAAGAGAAAGCATGACAACTGTGGGGGAAATGCTGGCTTCTATTGGGCAAGAGCTTAGAGTGTGGATGGGGCATGGTGAGAGGTGTTTCTTTATAATTGCAACTACGCACTGTGGGCCTTCCACATGTCCTGTACTTTATGTACATCATCTTAAACCTTACTACAACCTTAGGGAAAAGATATTATTCAGGCTCCTTTGTTCATTTCAACTCACTTTCACCCAAATGCACATAGGGGCAGTGTTTGAGAATAGTAGGAGCCTTGATCTTGGCCATATAGCTCTTTGATAACAAATAAGATGACCAGACTTTGGGAGTTGAGTTGAGCACCTTCCAGAAAAACAAGCTCAGGTTTTTGAAATGTTTTTTCAGCTGCTCTCACACTCTTATTTTCTGGGAATAACTTTGAGAAGACCCTAGAAAATGAGTGATCTGGAGACTTCAGTAGTGATGCAATCAGTTTTATGAAGCAGTCAGCTGCCAAATTTCAGTACAACATGGAATAAACAAACCAGAGAACGTAGAACTGGAGCATGACTCTGCTTGGAACAAAGAGCCCTGGGAACATACTGTGTTCTCTGGCTAATCCATCAGAAGGTGTGCATCTTGGAGTGGGCTACAGCAGAATCACTGCAGAGATTATGACTAAGTACGTTCAAATTATTGGTTAAAATTTGCACGGAAGGTTATCATTAAGAGGTTCCAAGAATCCTAGACTTTCTGTGTTGGAGAAGATCTTAGAGGTGTTGTATGCCACCTTGTCGTGTTCATGTGAAAACTGATGTCAAAGAAGTTCAAGGCCTCACTGCTGGCACGGAGGCCAGCAATCTCACCACTGCAACTCATGGTCTCTTGACAAGTTTTACGTGTGACTCTTCTACGAGGTGCTCTCTTTAATTAACCAACAGGATGCACACAGTTTGTATCAATCTTGTTTAATAACCACTCTCCAGTCACTTAGTTGTTCATTACAAGAAAAAAAAAGTTATTCTCAGTTCCTTAAGGATATGGGAAAATTCTATAGAAGAAGTGAATTTAATTTAAGCACAATTTTTTTTTTCTCATCTGGGTTTTATGGCCATTTCTTTTATTTTTATTAGATAATTCATACTCCTCTTTTGATTTTAGGAGCTCAAAATGATTTGTCCATATATAGTGTCTTAATTACTTTGTAGCATTTGGCAAGTATTGCCAAAATATTAGTCTAGGAAACTGAACATTGGTTAGGATGAATTCCTTACCTTCAGGTTGCACAGGAAACACTGCCAGAATCTAGTTCTTGAGAATCTTAATTGACAGCAGAGATCCCTGTTAAGAAAACCCTTTCCTGAGGGTGGGGGACTTTGTACACTACAAATGGAGATTAGGAGGGCCTCCAAGAAAGCCTGGAGAATCCCCTGAGAAGTTTGACAACAGTATTGCTTTAATTCTAGAATAAGCCTGTTGGAGAGAACTTTATGAAACTACTGGTATGGTGCTTGATTTGGGGTCCTTTGCCATCATTATTGACAATGAAGGTTGTTTTCATGAGAAAAACTAAAACATACCTGAACCAATGGAAACTAATATAGAAACATCTGGTATAGTATCAAGCAGAGAGGAGT